AGAATTAGATATTTTGTATGAGTGTCTGACTGGAATCGTGATAAGTAACAATGAAATTACTATTTCAAAAAATATTCGATGCTCTGATATTTGAACCTTGCTCTCTTTATACTGTTAGTGTTTATATTCTAAAGCACGACTCCACTCTGTGATACCAATATGATCTCTGGTGAACCGTAGGCTATATTATTATGCATCTGCATGTCGACGGGAATACAAGGGTAGTGATCTACTTGCTGGGCTTATAGCTCACTCCGCTTACTTTTATATGTGTAGAGTGATAACACTTGACTATGGGAGTCGAGCAGCAGAGTGGTGGCGGCAAACATTTGAAGCTTCAAACCTGTCAGGGATCCCTTTCTGCATGGTAGGTGCCTGATGGCGAGCCCACTATGTTGTTTTGGTGTGATGTACTATAAAGTCCGACTTGTAAGCTTTGAACTATATTGTAAAGAATCTTGGAGCTTCAATGAAAATTTAATGGTTTTATTCAGTTTATATTGCTTGATGTATGAGTTTTATTTAATTTTTATGGTTTGCTTTGATTATGCATTTCTAACACGCATTGAGCCACTCCTGCCTAAGTGACGTTCGCGACCTTCGGTCATGACCCCGCACTTTGTCACCTTCCGATAGGGTACGGTAGGGGTCAGGGGGCGTGGTCGTGACATGTAGTCTCCCTTTTTTTACAATTGACTTAAGCTTGTTATATAGAATTCTCACCAAACAGGGGTGGATACTCAAAAGCTAAACCTAAATGCAAGTAAAAGATATTAAAATAAAGTCCCGAAATTGGGTACAATGACAAAAATTCCCTAAAACTCTTTTGCACATATGACAAACTTGTCCTACTCTGAGGAGCCTGCCGCCAATGTCAAAACTTCGAGAGCTCTTACCGGGTTCTTGCAGTATGAGATTGGTTGATCTGTTGTTATATTCTTGATGTCCGTTTCCTTGTGATTGTTCTGATTTTTGCGGCAATCTCCTTCGTGAGTGGAGGTACTCGGTTGGTTTTTATGAACTCTTTGATGGTCTATGTGGCTTTTCTAAGTCGATTGCGAGCTTGGAGAAGGTTTTTTCTTTGAGTGCTTTTGCAAGTGGTTTGATTTGCTTTTGCATTGTTCCTTGGACTTTTGGTGGACCGTCGGGAAAGGCATTTTCTGGTGATGGGGATCTTCTTGTTGTTATTATTGTGACCTTGGGTTTCATGCCTTTCTCTGTTTTGCTTTGAATGTTGTGTGTTGTGTTTGAGGTTTTCTTCCTGGGAGTATTCTTTTCTCAATATCAGTTTTCGTGCGACCGAGTCCTCTTCTGCGAAGGGCTAAGACGTCGTTTTGAATATTCTCGGGTCCATGGTCTCGTGCCTCCTTTCTTCTCTTTGGTGGAGGAGGCTTGTCTTTCACGCTTGTTCGTCAGAGGGAGGGATATCGTTGAAGCTTTTTTGTGGGTGTTTGAGGCTTTCAGCCACTCTTCCGATGCGGGGAACAAGTTGCGAGTTCGTCGAGGGGTGGCCAAGGAATCGCCATGGCCATCGACTGGTTTGGTGAGGCCGTACGGCGGAAGGCGTGCCTCTGCCCTACTTCGCGATGGTTCGAGATTAGGGCCGTTGGATCAATCCGTTTGAGCCCAGACCCACTTTTTTTTCTTAGAAAATGACCGTGGTCATTTGGCATGCCCATCCGGCTCTTATACACACGGTGGCAGGGATAAGGCTTTCAACTCTTGTTCGTGTAGACATCTTTTTCCTTCAGTTATCCTTATTTCGAGGTTTATTTCCTTTACGGCTACTGTTTTCCTCATGGCTATGTCTTGTACGCCGCGGTGACCGGGTTGTAGCCGTCTTCTTCCTTTATTTAATTGAAGGGCTGAGGTGCTTCAAAAATGACGTATAACAATAATTCTAAAACTAGGACTCCCATTAGTGATAACATCATGATCATATCATTAACATGGGGATGACATGGGGAGCCCACGGCCAACCATATGGTTACTTGGGTGGCACATGGTATCACCCCACAAGTTGTCCTTCGTTGAAATTACCCTCAAACAATTTAAAAACTACATTTTTTACTTTGAAAATTTTCAAAAAATTCCCAAAAAATTTTCGAGTGATTCTTTACCATAAATACACAATTTCTCTTCATAATAAAATATGAGAATTGGTAAATTTGATCTCTAAGCTTAGATCTAGATATCACCGTACTCCACTAGGCTAGTCCAAAGTAATGGTCCATTTATCTGAAAATGACTCAACGAACTTATGTTCCGCAATCTATGGAAGAGACTCATAATCCGGCTTCATCAAAGTCACCCCAATCAAACTTCTCATCACCCGCTTCATAGTGGATTATAGGTGCACCCATGTAGGACATAAAAGTGCTCACATACTTGGGTCCTCTCAAGTTACATGTGTACTAGCTCGTCTTAGTAGGATCATACATTAAAAGAGTGTCTTTCCATGCAATTGCGAGTGCACTTTCCATAGGATAGTCTTGTGTTAGGGTACGGGACACAATTTCATAAGATAATTTCGTGTTAGGGTACGGACTCGTGTCCCATGAGTCATGACCATCCTATACAGGGTTGTTACTCATAAATTAGTCGAGTTCTATTGTACTCTTTTGGTTCTCCTAGCCCTAGCAATTCACACTAACAATGAGGCACACTCATAAATATAGACCTAACTCATATGTGACCCTTACACCTCCACAAGAGATTTGTCCCTTAAATCGAAAAATATACTCAAGGTATATGATTCTAAGCCCTAATGCACCAAGCATCCGAATCATCTTCTCTCAATCCCTCCCACTAAATGAGAGAATCTTAGTTTGAAACCTTGAAAGGCTATAATTCCAACATTCTCTCACTAGGCCTTTTGAGACCTTATATTCATGATGGGTTTCATACACACATACATACTCAATTCCCTCGTATTATCAAGCATACTCACATTTTCGATATAAATATCACACAAGCATCCTCATAATGATGACAATGATACTCAAGATAAACTATCACGTAAACTATATGTGGTCCACATTATGCACATGCACAATACTTGTAAATCAAACCACATGTAAACCACATGCCAACTTTCCATATCACACTCATGCCAATAATGCATATGATAGTCTTATAGATGCTAATGTAAAAGTAATCCCCATTTTAATGATCATGTTTCTCTAAGAGAGCAAGGGATACACTCAGAAGGAAAAAATATGGGAACTTATAGCTTCGCTGATAGTATAGCCGTTGAAAGGGCCGAATAGTGGACTACGATTTGAGCAGTTACCCTTAAATGGTTCGGAAAAAAGTTACGATGGGTATGATTTTCTCAAATTCAAGTTACACCTATACCCTTCAGACTTTCCATTCTCAATCTCATGCATATTCTCATATCTATATGAATATTCATGCTCATCTTCACGAACACACAAATTCTCATGTATAAGTATATATGCTTACTCAACACTTATGCATGCATTTGAATGCTCGCAACACTATGTTTATGCAAAATGTCAACCATCACATGTTTGTACTCATAAATGCTCATACAAATGTTCATTAAATTCTCATCAAACTCTTTTATTTGTGCATTGTTCTGAAACCTCCCTAAAGTCATGGACAGATACCTTGTCCATTTAAAACCAGTGTGTGGGAGTTGTGCTTGGGTTTCTATTTCGAACCATGCATTTTATTCATAATCCGATTCATTTAATTTCTCATGAATACCATACTCGGATTCGATGAGACGCAGATGCCATCATGGACCGATTGTATTTGTCATAACAGCATCATTAAAGACGTTCACCCGATGTAAACCTATAGAAAACCTAGTATCCAAGCCGATATTAGGTTTGGAACATTTAAGACAAGACCTCAAGAACACAATGAGGTTTAGGGGCTGGTTGGGTAAGAGAAGGGTTAGGCTTACAAAACTGTAGAGATGGATGGACATCCAAAAAGGCATGTCCATCTTCTTAAATGTCCGTTTTTTGTTTTATAACAATCCCCACTTTAGAAGAAATTACGTCAGAAGAAGAAATACGAGTTACAAAATTTAAGAATTGCTTTTGAATGCTGATAAATCGCCAAAATTAGGAAATTTATACTTGGCTTACCACCAATAACTTGAATAAATAAACAGCGTTAGAAATTTAAGGAGCTATAAAAATAACAAGAACGACTTAAATAAAATTAAAATAAAAAATCCTTTTTTAATTTCGTCTAATATCTCAAGAGGAGCACCTTATGTATTTATAGGAAAAAGATTGCATTAGCCTGTAAGGGTACAAATTTGCCTATCCTTCACTTTTTGTTTTAGATGTGTTTTCGTAGGGTCGTTATTTGACACCCACCTTATTCAACCTAGCATGTCCCCATGAAAGAGTATTAAAAAATCTTAAAATTAATGTTTTGAAGAGAGCAAATATGGTGCGTTACAAAATGTTTGTTTTAGTACATGGCAAAGTTCTCATTTTTGTTTACAAAATGCTTGATAAATTTCTGTTTGCGAGATGTTTGTTTTTGTCTGAGTTTTAGTTTACACATACACATATATTTCTTTTTACGTTTTTGTTGTCTGAAGTTCTAAATCATCGTTCATTTACTTGATGAACTATTCCTTAAAAAAATGATCTCTCAAGGTCTTAAAATCCCATTTCCCCTCAAATATACGGTTCCAGGTCAGTCTTTGGAAGATTTGAAGCATTTTTAAACTCTAAAATCAAATTTATTTCGGAATAAAGTGTTCTTTATATGGAATTGATATTGGGGGTATCTGAAAATTTTCAGGACACAAAATCCCCTACTTTAAGAAGGTTCTATGAGATGGAGGTGGTCCCGCTAACAACCTAATATAGGCCCTATAGAACGTTAAGTAGCATAATTGCCAGCACTATTTCATTGTTATTTGGGCATTACTATATTAGAAAGCTATCATGAAAATCTGAATTTATGCATTTTATTTTTTAAAAAAAAACGCAATACACGTGCAAAAAGATGGGCAACATGAGGAAGATGCTTTACCATTGGGGACTGTAGTTACAAATGGGAAGGATACCCGAGAAAGGATGACACGCACAAATCGAGAAATGATCCCTACTGATTTCCCAAAACAAAAGAGTTACAAATGGGAAGGCATAATATCCAAAATTACAAAATTATTGAAACACCATGACATATGGAACTCTAGGCAACTTTCACCCCTAGAACAATTCAGAATTTAATATATCCCAACTTCTCCGCATGTGCAGAGGTAGAGGAGCAACTAAGTCAAGTTTCTCCAACTTTGAGAGATCATCTACAGATTGTTCATGCAAGTGCTGAAATGCCAATGACATATTGGGAAGAGTCATCTGCCTGCAATGGAGATGCAACCGTGGCTTTTTGTCGGAGACGCTGCCTCCCTCCAAGTCAAGGCCAAATGGTGCCTTCCTGTTCAATCGCTCCTCAAACTTTAGTGTAGGGAAAGGCTTCCATTTCCTATGAGCATTCCAACCATACTTGTAGTCTCCTAAGATGGGTGTTCCCAAGACTTCGGCACAATGGACACGTAGCTGTGTTGAACAAATATACAAGAGAGCATAAATTAGAAATAAAAATAATCAAGGCCAGCTTATTTTTTACTCTTCCTTCTAACCCGTCGTCTACGTGTCTTACTTGATGCTTTCTACCGGTGCGTGGGTAGAGTTCCAGCCATGTAAAACCTATAGAAGCAACTCAAAAACAGCAATCAATACAAGTACACAAACAAATTATAATATTAGCTTAATATTTGAAAATAAGATTGTCTATATCAGATACATTTGCTAGGAAGTGACATTATAGATTAAAAACTGGAAGTACATGAATAGTAAACAGAAATAAATCACTCCAATCAGAGCACAAAGAAGAAATGGTGAATTCCTTTGGCAGCTCTGATACCTGTTTCCTGTCTAATAATAAAACACATCGTTCAATATATCTGTGGATGTGAAATCACACTAACAAAATATAGGAAAGGCTAAAGTAACAATTAATCATCTTCATGCAATTGAGTATCTTGCGATCTATGAGATTTGTTTGGATGTCTGATGAAGAGAATGAAAGAGATATGCTTACGTGATAGAAACAAACAAAAAATATATGAGATGTCAAAGCAACCTGCTTCTAAGCCAAGAAAGTGTTCATGTGAGCGATATCCTCCAAAGCTGTAACAAGAAGAAATATCGTTTCTAAAATACACCTATAGGATAGATGCACAAGAACTTTCAAGCCAAACAAGTGGACACGTTTAAAATGTTTGTGATTTAGTATACATTACTCTTTTATTAGGCTAGGCAAAAGTTTTTGAGCTAGTACAGGGTTCTGAAGCAGCCGTGAATAAAACATGCAACCTTTAGATGGCTCCAATAAGTGGTAGCATGACAAATAATGGAGTAATGCTGACAAAGGATGCAAATGACTCCTACAAGTCAGTAGTATACTCCAAAGGGATCTAAGAAGGGTGAAGACCTTAAACGTTCCCTTAACCCGTCCCAATCCTGGGTAGAGGAGTTGGGTTGTGCTAGCTAGGCAGCCAACGTAAAGCTTTACCAAAACTTTCTATGAATCCTAAATCTAAGCTATCTGCTTATGCTAAGGGGTTCCCTGCAAGCGACGCATTGTACTGGAACCCAGGAACCCAGGTTCAGTGAGCAATAAGTAAGGGTTAGATAGGGTGCTCCCCAAAAGCGCGCCTCAGCGCCGCCTAATTGCGATGAACAATATGCAAGACATTCTGAACGAGCGCGGGTAAAGAAGCTAGTCCAAGAGAAGTGGATTTCTCAAGCCATATGAAATATAGGAATGCTTATAGGTAAGAATATGGAACTAATAAATACAATGAGATGAAGACGAGTAACCATTGTCTGTCTACAGGAAACTAAGTGGAAAGGGAAAAAAGCTAAGTAAATAGATGGGTATAAACTTTAGCATATAAAAAAGGATAATAATAGAATGGCGTAGGTATAATTGCAGGAAAAGATTTAAAGGATAAAGTAATTAATGTCAAAAGAGTAGGTGATAGGCTCTTATTAATTAAACTCGTATTAGGGGATGAGATAATTAACGTAATTACTACTTACGCACCACAAGCATGACTAGCAGATAGAACTAAGAGACAATTGTGGGAGAACATGGATGGCCTGGTCTAAGACATACCAAATGGAGAGAGGACATTTTCAGGAGATCATATAGGGAAGGATAGTTGAGGATAAGAAGGGGTACATGGTGGATATGGGTTCGATGAAAGAAATAAGATGGGTGAGGCTATTCTAGATTTTGCTATGGCCTACGACCTAGCAATAGCAAACAATTACTTTAAAAAGTGAGATGAACATTCAATAACCTATAAAAGTGGATCATATAAAAGTCAGATAGCTGCATCTTAGTTAAGAAGGTAGATCGACCATCATGTAAAGATTGTAAGTTAGCACCAGAAAGAGTTTGACTGCACAGAATAAGCTCGTGGTTATGGACGTCTGCATAAAGAGTCTGAAGAAAGAGGTGGAATTTAGAAAAAATAAATAACCTTATTTAGGGAAAAATTAGTTAAAGGAAAATTGCTCACTGGGCGAAGTAGAGATGTGCAACCGAAGTGTTATGTAATCGCTTATAAAATCTATAGAACAAATATGAGACCAGCTTTGCTTTATGGGGCAGAATGTTGGGCGATCAAAGAAACAAAATACCATAGGATGAGTGTAGCTGAGATGAAGATGTTGAGATAGATGAGTGGCAGGACAAAGGATAGCATTCGAAATTAATACATTAGGGAGAACATAGATATGGCTCCAATAAGCAATAAGATCAGATAAAGTAGACCTAAGTTTGCTAGCCATGTGCAGCACAAACTCAGTGTAACACCTGTTAGGAGGTGCGAGTTGGTGCAAGTGGAAGGCCCAAAAAGGGCAAAAGGTAAACCCAAAAAGACATGGTTGGAAGTAGTGAGAAAAATATGGGGACTTATGGCCTCACTGAGAGTATGGTCCTTGATAGAGTAAAATGGCAAACTAGGATTCGTATAGCAGGCCCCAAATATTTGGGAAAAAACTATGATGACGATGATGACAATGAATGTTAAAGATACTCTTGGATTACAGTCCAATCTCTAAACAAAAATGATTCACTATCACTGTATATATTGTAGATCCTTGATCTCTCGTGATAATTGCTTACACTATGACACATACCCAATGGACATATATTGTGTGGAACCCGCTTCCACATTTGTATGCATATAGTAACACAAGTTTGTACAACAAATGTGCCCATGTATGCAAAATAAAATATTTGCGATGTTATCGTGATACACAAGTATACAAGTGAGACATGTACATGTTGAGAAACTCTCGTGTAACATGCAACCATGGCACGCGTACAACATAGAACAACACGTGTTCAACATGCAAGTGTCATGTATTGTGCTCACCAATAGGCTTACTCTATGGTTTTCTTGAATTCCATAAGTTGACGCATTTCTTTTTTTAGAAGGTTAACCATTGTACTGTTATAAGATCTACACTTACTAGGATTGCTTACTTTGGCAGGCGATCCGTTCTGGATGATCAATCCTAAGATCCCAAAAGGGATTTTCTAGGTATTCGATTTCTAGAATTTCGAATCTCAATCCCTAGAACACAGGGATTGAGTTCCTTGGATTTAATATTGTATGGACATCAAATCCAGCCCCCTAAATCAGTTTTTTCAGTTGATGAATCATCTGTAGATAGAAATTGTATTAGCATGCAACACCATGAGTGCAAGTGCTAGAGAACCATAGAAAGTGGAAGATATCATTAAGAACCTGTTAGGAACTCGTAGTCACTAGGCTGTGGTGCTATTTTTATCTAATTGGGGAACTCTATTGTATCTAATTGGGGAGCTCAATTCCTAAAACACGTGGATCGAGTTCCTTAGATTTAAATTTGTATGGACATCGATCCCTATCATGAGGAGCTTCAGGTAGACTCGATTCATTGATCCAGCCCCTGATCTCGAAACCATTCCCAATTCCATTCCCAACAACTATGATAAGGTCATATACATGTTTCTGTAAAAAAATAGCAACGAACAATTTGGGCACTCTATCATGTCAATTTGAGAGGGGGAGGTCCATCAAATGAAGGGTGAGAAACCGCATCTATACATAAAAGCATGAATAAAAAAATAATACAGCCATAAAGCAAACTCTCAAAAATGTGACAATCGCTTCATTGGCCCCTTCAGTACTCCCTCATGCAGCGCCTTCTTAAGCAAGTGGTAGCCATGGTGTTGGCCACCCGCTATGTTTGCTAAAATGAATATGAATAAGCCAATAAAGGTCCAAAATCTGGTCAAACAGGTGCTCAAGTTGCCAGGGGTAAAGGGAGGATTTAGTGACCCATGAGATGACATTACTGGAATTTTCGGAGACCACTAGAGAGGTGACATTGGGTTGAATCTCTTGATGTCCTCAAGGAGTGTTGTAGTGTCTGCAAGAGTGGAGTCAGCAAACCCAATAAAGCCAAAAAATGAGATGGGCATCTTTCATTGGCAGTATCTTAATAAGCCACCGAAATGAGCTGGACTATGACTCCTTGTTTGGTGCCCTCATATTAGAGGAGTGCGAGATGGTCAGTTGTCTATAGGATAAAAATGGTCTTCCAATTGTTAAGGAAATCAGCAATTGAATGGTTGTTGAAAGTTTTAGCATTTTCGCTCCAGAATATGACCAAGGCTTCCTTTCAAAAATTTGAGTGTTCTTCTCAGTCCAAACCACCCACAATGTTGCCATCACTTGGGCATGCCAAAGGAAGTCGACTGCTTTAGACCAAGGAGGGGAGCTAAACGCCTGAAATAGTTGGGGAATGGATTGCAGTAGGACAAATGACCACTCAAAAGTTTGTACCATGTGAGCCCATAGTTATGCCCTCAGGCCACCTTAAAGCTAAGAAAGAGGTGTTCATTGGTTTCTTCAGAAGATTTGCACATCTTCCACCAGTTCGATAATTTGAATGCCCCTACCTTGGAGTTGGTCTCCAAAGAAAGCCTGGATTTTAGGGGATTGGCTTGAGCCAAGTTTTGCTGGTTATAAAGGGGGTTAGGGGTGTTTTAGGGCATGGGAGCGACATGCAGCCCCACAAACTCAGGCATGGCATTCCCACAAAAGCTTGAAGGACATAAGAATTCCACTCAGATAATCAAATTTTCAAAAAACAACTCAAATTCAATTGGAGAACTATAAAGTGAACCTCATCGTACGTCTGTATCTGATAATCCAAGATCAGTGAAGCTCTTCATAGGAGAAAATAGACATCTGGATATACTAATGAATTCTTTCCAGGAATTGAAACCAATGCAAACTATGGAGAGTAGAACCCAAAAAAACTCTATTGTAGATGCTGAATTCTATTCTCAAGTCCTATATTTATAACTATTGACAAGGACTTACAGAGTCAAACCTCATGATGACCTCTAAGGAAGATGTCTTACTATCAGGCCATGTTTCATGTTTTTGTTGTGCACTCAATGCCCTTACATGTAATCTATTGCAGAAGATGAAACTGCCGATGAAGCATGTGGGATCCAGTTGCAGGTCCCAAGGATGATCATTATCAAAACCTTTTCCACACTAATTGGGGTCAGTGACACAAGTCTTAGCCTTCCATTATGCTCTATCAAGGGCCATACCCTCTTGGAGGCCATA